GTGTGATTGATTTGAAGTATAATTGTCAATACAATATTATTGTGCCTCTTGGTAAAATCCTTAACAGTTAAGACAGAGCATTTTCAAAATACGTGACTAATGTTTTCATAGTTTCTACATAGCACTTGAAATCACTATGACCAAATTTTCCATCTGCAACCATTTTTTAAGTGACAGGTATAGACACTCTCTGTGACACATAGTAGACAGTAAATCTTGCCTTACATCTTTAATTTGAAGAGAAGCAAAGAGGAAGGAAAAGTAGACACCATTTCCACTTAGCAAACAATATGTCTTGCTTTATTTATAAATTACATTTAAGTTCTAGTCATGCTTTTTTGCCAATGTAAAGTGAATCTTCCCATGCAGGATACTAATGCTTTAAATAGTTAGTCAAGAAACCTAGTTATGAAGAAAAGTTAGGAGAGTAGATGATAACAATGTCTAGAATACTCAGAAAAAATTGTTATAAAAGTTCATTAGCCAATGCATCATATATACATAAAACAAGATAAAGCTGCATAATTCAAGGCTGATTAACATATTTTTTCTTTTGGTGAGAAAGATTAGCCCTGAGCTAACATCTCTTGCCGATCTTCCCCTTTTTGACTGAGGAAGACTGTCACTGAGCTAACATCTACATCAATCTTCCTCTATTTTATATGTGAGATGCTGTCTCAGCATGGCTTGATGAGTTGCATAGGTCCACGGCCGTGATCCAAACCCATGAACTAGCAAGAGAAGGAGCACACAAAATTAACTATGCTACCATGCTGGACCCTGATTAATGTCTTTTTTTTTTAATTTTAGGGCAATTAAAGGAAATGTTGACAATACACAGTAATCCTAGATTATAAGTGAAAGAGGGAATAGTGTCTAAAAATGAAAATCTGACTTCCTAACTTAAAATCACTCATTCTATAGCCTCCAGTTTGTATCCAACTACAAATATCCACTCATGTTTTCTATATGTGTTTCGTTCTTCCTTTGAGTAGACGATTTTTTGCCATAAAACCTATATCTTGTAATACAATATTCTTATTTGATTTTCCTTAAAACCATGTAAGAGTCAAGTAAAATAAAATAGATCCCTTAATAGGAATTATTTAGGAGGAAAAAAGAGGCAGTGGGAAAAGAGTCTCCATGTAAAAGCAAAAATGACTTTCTGTACTGAATTTCACTGTTTTTCAAGTCTGGCAAGAATAATACATCTTGGCAGTTGAAACGTGCTATTCACCTGAGGGCTGTCAATCATTCGCATTTTGAAAGACAGAATTTATGAATTGTCAACACGTGTTTTAGGTGAGAAACCAGTGTTCACCAAAAGAAAGCCTAAAACAAATGCTCAAATAAATTGAAATCAAAATGCTGCCTGGTCCTCAGATCTTAAGAACATATTACACATAACCTACAGTTCATATGTTATAACAATTGTAATATGTGAGATAGGGATTACAAACTGCATGGCTATTACTGTGCTTTTCAAATGGAGTATAGTCTGGAGATCAATAGTTTCTTCTGCATTCCATATAAAGTAAACTATTTGTCATTGAGCATCCCCCATAAATACAACTCTAATACCGAAACTGCTGACAGCCTTGTAGGCGATTTCAGTAGTGGAAGCCAGAACTAAACACACTGGACTACATTAGAGTTGCTCCCTGGAGGACAGAATTGAACTTCATTGGCAGGGGCACTGTAAGAGTTCCATTTGACTCCTCATTAAACCTCTCACAGGGATTATAGCTCCTTCTCTGTGGCTGCTGTTGCTTCTCTTTCCATAGAAGAGAGAGATGTGAAATACACAGGCATGAGTACCTTTTTACATATTTAGAAAATAATTGCTTTTCTTAACAAAAACAAAGCCTCCTACAGATTTTTAAAAAGATCTTCCAGTGTCTTGCTCATTAACCACCTCATTATTATTTTCAAAGGAAGTAGAGATCTTTATTTCAATTTTTGAGAATTCATTTTTAAATGCCTGACTTAGGGCACGTAAGAGATTCTGTTTTTTTCCGGCATTTATCTTTTCTCGAGGAAAAGCAGCATTAGGGAGAAAACAGTGATAATGATCTCAGCCTTCTTTACCTAACAGTATTGTTTGTGATAATGAAACCAGAACAAACATTTTGAAGCAATTGGTGAAGCACACATTACTATATACACTATATATTGCCCAGGGACTTTCTTCTTGATTTGGAGTCTTGAAAATAGCATAAAATTTGCCATACTTTGGAAGTGTTGCATTGGAAAACAAGTTAGTAGTTTAAAGAAACAACAGCACACCGTGTAGATTGAAAACTCCACACTACTGATGATATAGCATTCACATTCTTCTTGAGTGTCTCTCCCAGGAAGATTCACAAGACTGTTACTGTTTTAAGTGCAATGCAAAGAAATGAAACTATTTTATCTGCAACAGCTAAGTAAAACACTTTTCTCTGGAGAGAAAATTTTCTGTGATTGTGAAATAACACCTTCAGGCCATCTAATCATAGTGTTACTTAATGGAATATTAATAAAGCTAATTACTAATACTTTCCTGGGGACTGCTTTACTGTTTACTGTTTACTGTTATTGTTCCCCAAAAGTGGTCCATATGTGTGAGGGCATAAAGCGCCATGCATTTTTGTGATACAAACGATGGAGAAAAAATAGAAAGATAACATAGCAAAATATGATTGTATAAAAATATGCACCATTGTGAAAGTTCTTTTTGCATTTACAAGGATGTATAATCAGTAGAATTGCTTTCTAATGCCCTATATACATCAGGTAAGCCTATATTCATCTATCTGCATACACACATATGCATATACACACACACATGAATATTTTCATATATATTTATAATCCACAACATGGACACACATACGCACTTTAAAATCAAACTCTATTCAAAATGGGAATTGTTGGCAACATGTAAGTATGATTTTGCTGCTGGTCTAAACAGACCTTCAGTTCTAGATATTAGATCACTTTAATGCCACTTTTGGGAGTGGATTGGAATAGACTGTTGCTTTCAGGAGCTTCAAAATGAAAGGAAAATATATCAAACCAAAGCCCCTGCAAGTGCAGTCACACAAATAAACTTTTCAGCTAGCCCATGAGTCTGACCCAGAGGGACGGAGAAGCAGCTAATATCTTTCCAAGAGAAAGAGAAGGTCCAGGCCAACCAAGAGTGGGCACAAGGGCACTAAAAGTGAGCATATAAGAGGGAAGAAGGTGACAACAAAAGAAGTTTCTAAAAGAAGATGCCAAAGACAACAGTCTCACATAAATTCAGACCATTATTCTACATTTATGCATATAAGCATTTGGTACACATAAGTACTCATGTAAATATATTCACTCTAAACCATTCTCAGACACACGTATACATACCAACCAAATGGTTAGTGTTTGTCACTGCCCATCTAGCAAAAGGCAGAGTAAATGTAGCCCTGGGTCTTTTTCCATGCCACTACTCCCCTGACTGTGTGACTGAGACAAAGTCACTGCCTGAACTCCTACATTCATGACCAAGGTCACCTTTCCTGTCTCCTGGTGCCCAAGCATGTCAAAGACATATTGGAAGTCCCACTACTGGCAAGGCACAGCAGGGTAATTTACATGATAATAAAAAATGATTTATATCTGAATAGTGTACCCCGAGGTTTATTTTGACAGACATCTTTCAAAAACTACACATAACAACCAAAGGTACGTAAATAGTTTGGAGATACACAACTTGGAAATAGTTTTCTGAGCTTCTAAAAAGTCACAGATTAGTTTTGCATGAATAATTCACCCTTGTTAGAAAGTATATGGGTGAAGGGGGTTAAATGGTACAAACAGATATAAAATAAATAAGTCATGGGGAGGTAGAGTACAGCATGGTGATTATAGTTAAGAATAGTGTTTTCTATATTTGAAAGTTGCTAAGAGAGTAGATCTTAAAAGTTCCCATCACAAGAAAAAAATGCGTTAACTGTGTATCATAATGAATGTTAACTAGACTTATTACGGCGATCATTTTGCTATATATATATATGTATAGAATCATTGTGTTGTACACCTGAAATTAATATAGTGTTATATATTTCTATTGTATCTCAATTTTAAAAAAATGGTAAGAAATGTCCCATGTACCCTTCAACGAGTTTCCTCCAAAGGTAGCACCTTACGTAAATATAGTAGGTATCCAAATCAGGAAACTCACATTGGGACAGTTCACAGACCTCATTCAGATTTCACCAGTTTTACATGTATTCATTTGTGTGTGTGTGTGTGTGTAGATTTTATTATCTGGGTAGATTTGTGTAACCACGACCACAATCAAGACACAGAACTGTTTCACCACCACAAAGACCCCTGACACTATCACTTTTTAATTACGTCCTCTTCCTTTCCTCTCCCCCCTACACACATACATTGCTGAAGGGAATGTAAAATGGCATACCACTCTGAAACAGTTCAAGATAGTTTCTTTTATAATTAAACATAGAAGTGTATATCTGTTTGCAAATATATGTAATATGTTATGACTCCTTTCTCCTATAGGCTGCTTCAGGTGACATAACAGACTTTAGCATCAAAAGACAGCCCTTGAAATTTACAAGAATTCCTGATGTCAAATGGAAAAAGTCTATAACAGTGTTCTTTCTTCCTGGGTGACTGTGAGATGGAAAAAGAGTGTGCAAATGGGATAGAGAGAATGAAAGAGGGGAGAGTTATCCTCCCCATCTCACACGCGCGCGCGCACACACACTTCCCACACTCCATCATTATAATCACAACCACCACTCCCCTCCAAGTGTTACTGGTTCTTTATAAGCACAACTGAGAACACATGTAGGAAGACTGAGAGGAGACGGGGATCTGGCCCGGGGTTGCTCAAGAAGAGTCAGGGAAATCCCACAGAACTCCTGAGTCCCAGAGACTGTGGAAAGGTTTGGGGCGGAGTCCGGAGTGGGGGCTGTCCAGCCATAAGAGGCGGACCCTGGTGGGAGGGTTGGGAGGCTGTCACTTTATGAGTCCGCAGCCCAGAGCGAGAGTATCCCGGCTGCCAGAGGACCGCGGTGCGCTGGGCGCAGGGCCCCCGCCTCTCGCTCACCACGCGGACCCCGCGCCTTCTCCGGCGGCCGCGGTGGCAGCGGCGGCAGAGCCTCGCCCACTCCAATCCCCACCCTCTCCATCCTTAGCTGTTAAAGAACAGCAGCGCTTGGCACGTTCCTGAAGGACCCCGGGCGCAGAAGAGGAAAGGGAGCAGACGCAGGGGGACTTGGAAAAGCAGCATGCGCCCGCCGGGATCAGCCTCGGCGCCCACGGTCTGAGGCTGCAGCCCCAGTTCGCCATTGTGAGCCGCTGGCAGGGGAGCCGGTCCGCGTCGCCTCCCCCCGGGTCACCGTCCGCGCCGCGATGGGGCAACTGCCCACGAGGACGCGCGGCGGACGCCGCCTCCTGCCTCTGCTCTGGCTCTTTGTGCTGCTGAAGGTAGGGGAGCCCCCGCCCCTTGCCCCGGCGGGCCTGCCCGCGGCCGCGCTCCGGCGCCCTCGCTCCGCTGCGAGTGAGCGGCGCGCCCCGGGTTGGTCTGGCCACTGGAAGCGCTGGCCGCGCAGCCCCGGCGCACGCTTTGTTGTCGCGTGTGCATGTTCCCGGCGGTCTTAAGGGATGGGGTGGAATAGGGAAGTTTGCTCCCTCCAGCTTTCACCCTTTGTGCTCTTTTGCCGCCGCTGGTATCCACATCAAAGGTGGGCTTGTTGGATAGTGCTTCCTCAGGCAAAATGAGGTCACTTTCCGTTCTGGTCGCTACTGCACTCCAATGCTGCTTAACCTTTCCGCCCTCCCCCAACGGAGTGTGTGGCTGCTTTGTCTTTATTTACCTTCTGCTGGAATTATACACCCGGGGCTGAGCTCCCTGGTCGAAAATGGACTGCCGGAGTGGGTCGTGAGCATGGTTTTCTCTGAATAAGGAGTGTCAGCTTGATCGTGGGGAGGACTCCTCTCCCCAAGTCCTCATCTTCAACCCGATAATTCCCTTTACAAAGTCTCTTGACTTTTCCTCACTATATTTACAGAGGATGCTACCTCTAAATTTCAGTGGCATAAAAATCTGTGTAAATTAACTTTTTTGAGTCTTCTTCGGAATATACTGCTCCAGGGTTTTACTTTGAGGAAAATGAAAAGCAAAGAGACTGCTTTAAAAAAAAAAAAAAAAATCCTAGTTTGACAACTATACTGTACATAAAATTTTCAAAAGAAATTTCAGCTAGATGGTTTCTTAGAAAGTGGTGTGAAATTATGAGGTAATTTCCTACCACTCGTGTCTTCAGTGGGTGTTCTTTAGTTCTGTCATTAGTCCTTCCTTTCTCCTCTGGGCAAAGCAAACTCAAGAGTGTCGACAGGTGACCGGGAGCTATCCTTTCAGCACCACAGTGATACCTACCTTAGAAATGGATGAAACATTAATGGATGCAAATGATTTCTTATCAAAGAGTCACTTCTTGCTTACACACATCATTAATTATGAATGCTTGACAAGGAAATAGTGGAACAGGACCAATGGATTGAAAGCAGCATCAATTTTAAATATTTCATTTATCTTAATGGAAAATAGGAAAAATAGTTTCAGGGAGAAACAGCAAGAGTGCATAAATAAGATTCTAAATCACATTTAATATGTTTTTACATTTTTCTTAAGTTACCAATAATACTTTTATTTAAAACCTGGTAAATAGTAAGCTTGGTCATATGATTTCATTCTAGGAGGTTGCTCTTTTAGCACACACCACAAATGTATTAAAAGTATTGTTTTCTATTAATTTTTCTATTTGTCAAAATCTGTCGTGACTGTTATGTCTACGCAACACTTGCCATGAATCCATTTTAATACACATTTTACTAAGTAACAGCTAATATTTACATGTATGACGTCTGATCCAAAGCCAACCTTTGGCACAACTGCACGTTTTTATTTGAATTCTTTGTAAGTGGTGAGATTTACAGAAATGGCCAAATGATGAGTTTGGGAGTGGGGGTAGAGTGCTGCAATTAAAATGCAAAGAAGGTGGGAAAAGTTCTAATCAAAACTTGATATCGAAATGAGAAAATGCAGTCGCATGATAGCATAATGGTATTCTCAGTGACAATAATAGAGGCTCCCCCTGTGTCACATAATAGGTGTATTCCTGCACGTTTGCAGATTAATGTCAACTATGGTAAACTGCATCACATAGTAAATACATTGATAAATCTTTTCATTTAAGTGAATATTGTAATGGGACAAATAATTTTGTAAAGAAAATCATTACTCTTTATTTTATGTAAATGCAGTTTTATGTCACCTTAATATAAAGTATACTGAAGGAAGGATATATATCCCGAATATACTGAATACCCACTATGTGCCAGTCAGCCTTCCAGGAATTTCACATATGCTATTTCACTTAATTCTGTTTTGTTACAGTTGACAAGAGATGTTCAAAGTGATAAACTGGGCACAGGGAGTAATGCATTTACATTCTGGGAATAGTATATTACATGGTAAATGGGGTACATAAGATAATCTCTTTATAATTTGGAGATACTTTTGCATTCAAGGTCCTGAACAAGTGTTAATAAAATAGACCTAACATGGAGGTGGTGATAGGAACATGAAACAAATTCCATTATTAAATACCAGATTGTCAATTGAATATGAATGATAAGATCTAAAAAGATCTGTGTGTGCTGAGTCAGAAACAAACCATTCCTCCAGCCCCCTATAAATTTCTGTGGTTCTTATTATGTTGATAAATCTTTCACTACTGCATATCAAGTATCCTCCATATAAAAATGAAAGTTTCTAAAAGCCATAAAATTAGAGAAACTCAAATATGAGGATTGATTTATGTTTTGTCTTTTCCACAAATCAGAAACAAACAGCTGGATATAAGTGATGGGGAAGCCCGAAAATTTGAATCATGGTTGGATGTAACCAGTTCCACTGAGGTAGCCTAAATGTGCCTGGCTATGAAGGCTTTGTGCTTTGTTCCTTATCCATGGCTTAGTGATGGTCACATTTAATCAGGCATCTCAGATTGTCTAAATCAGCTACTGTAAGTTATGAGGCTAATAACTGCATAATTGATGTTGCATAAGCACAATGTCAGTTATGAAAATGTTTAATTTCATATCAATATTGATAGTATATATAACTATTATCAACTATACTAGGAGCCTGCCAATCTCAAAATCTCCTACCCACATGCAAATGTAAATGGAATATTTTTCTGGAGAGTCTCCCTCTTGTACACCTTCTCATAATTCCAGTGAAAATAATGGAACTTCTTTTACCTTCCTATCTTTACTAAACTTCTCCCTGAAAATTTCTTCCTCTATCCGTTCACTGGATATCAGCGTTTTGTCAATTAAGATACACATTGTAGAATATGACATCATAGGAATTTCAATTCTGCCTTGCCTGAAATGGTGCTCATTAGTAGTCAACTGGAATGCTTCTCTAAACTCATAGCTTGGCATGAATCATTCTTTCTTTCTTAACCTCCTTTCTCTGTTCCCTTCCATTTTTCCTCTTACCTGATATATAATCAAAGGATATTAAATTTGAAAGGGGCCTTAATTACATTTTCTAAAAGAGGTTTATGTTTAATTCTATAGAGTATGATTATTAAGAAGCTGGCCATACTAGTCTTATTCGGGAGAAATATCCACATGCCAAGGACTATCTGTCTTTCTCCACTTCCTTGTGGCCCCTCTCTCATTTTCTTTTTCTCCTTTGCCCTCTGAGCCTTTCCAATCTCCCTGTCCCTCTCTCTCTCTCTCTCTCTCTCTCACACACACACACACACACACACACACACATCCACAGAAGGAGTTTCACTTTCCTTGTTGAGGTTTCATCTACATTCTACACTATACAATGTTGACAAATAAACCACAATCTTTTCATCTTTCTGGAGCAGCCTAGACCGTCCTCCTGGCAATGAAGTGTGCCGCCATTAACTCTTCTGTCAACTGACGTCTTTGGTAAATGTTGTTGCCAGCCTTTTAGAGAGACCCTTTTATATGTGACATCCCCAGTAAGCTGGAGAAGGTTCACTGGGCTGGGCTTCTACAGAGGATTGGGTGATAATTTCCCATCTGGTTGTTTTTGTTCTTTGTTGTGAAAAAGATTGTTGTTATATGAAAAAATAAAAAAATGGCATTATATCTCTGCCTCATTTTGGCCCATAAGAAAATCCTCATCTGTATGAATATTAAAAACAATGAGTCATTTTTTATTTTTAATAGCACTATTTATAGCATCTAAATGTCCAACTTAAAACTACTTAGACATACATGCACAGTGGCTACTGAGTCTCATAAATATAATTCCAGCCTGATTATGGAGGGTTTGCAAAGGAGCTTTTGTCTTGGATGCAGTTGGTGCATCTATATAAACCATTGCGATTGGTAGCAGCATGGCCTGATAGAAGACTTAACAGCAATGACCACAGATGTTTATTTCTCATTTTCTTCCTAATTTAATGCCTTCAAGTACACAGTTCCAGTGCTGTTGCATTTTCAGAAGCATAGCCCCACTGCACTGATGAGCTTTACCGGAAAACAGTTAGTGTAGTCACTTTATTACTCAAATATGTTGTAAATATTTTTGAAATAAAGACATGTATATTGTAGGTTTTTGTCTTCCACCGTCCTTGGTATGTGGTATTAAGCATATAACAGAAACTTCATTACACAGGATTCAAATTTTTGGCATTATATAGTTTTTCACTGAGAAGTGTTAAATATCATAATGTTGACTTGCAAACACATCTTTAAGGAAAATATGAGAAAATTATCACTTTGTGAATTAAATTATTATAATTACAATTCAATCATTGCCACTAAAAAATAATAAACTGTTACCAGTCCCTTATATTAGGAACTTACTGAAATCATAAATCAAAATACCAATATGTTATTTTTTCCAAAAAAGTAATACTGTTGATTGATCATTTATTCATCAATGTTACCTCAACTGCTAGTTACCATCACCAGTTAAGAAGTAGAGTTGAAATACTAGAAGAAATAACTTTTCTTACCTCTTTATGTGACCTATAACTTCAGAAAAATGCCCAAATATCCAGGTAATAGTCTTACTTCCTCTTCCATGTCATCCTTCTTCTATGACTACTACCAGCCAGAGCTGACAAAAATTTCTGCATTCCTCTAATAGAAATTCTCTAATATTTTGCCATAACTTTGCCCATAAGAGATGAAGCCTTTTCTACACCCTGATCTTGATTATATCTATGGTGGTGTTTAATCTGGGGGCATAACCCAGTGCCTTACAGAACTCTTCTATGGTGGCCTTAGAGACCCATTGGTATCAGCTCTTTCTGCTTAAATAAATATGTGCACTTGTGTCACTGATTTGAGGGGCCAAAACAAGGTTAATATGGCATAAGTAGTATGAGAAAGAAGGTGAGTGTGGTGGGATACAGCTGGAA